GCGCAATAACGAATTTTAAAGTTAGTACGCAATGAATTGCATTTCAGTTTGCGCGGAGCCATAAATGTAGTATTGTTTTATTTCTATATTTTCTTTATTAAAAATTTATATTTTTAACAAATAAATTGGTTTAAGTGATTACATTTATTTTTATTATGAGTAAATATTAGACAACATTATGAATATATCAGTGAAGTGTATTATGACTATGGAAAGAATTCTGGAATGACATCGGTAAGTGACATAGTTTTTGATCACATAGTTTTTGCTATTCGAATATAATATTGAATATAATTCATAATATTAAATTTTAATATTATAAAAAAATGTAATCCCAAAATAAAATTTTTTTAAATCCTTTCATAACATTCTTGATAATTGTGAACTAAGAAATTTCTTATTGATTGTTAGAATCTTGACCTTATTAATGTTCATTTAAAATAGTATTATCTCGCGCGATTTTTTTGGCGGTTAAAAAATACTTGCGATACATTTGAATATTATGTATTATTATAAATTTTAACAAATATTATATAATATTATAGATTTCATAAAGGAATAAATAGCTTTTTTTTTTAAGACCTGAAAGAAGTTTATAAGAACTTAACTTTCTTTTTAATAAATTTTTTTTATTAAAAATAACTTAATTTAAGAATATATTTCGTATAATTATCAATATAAATTCTAATGTATTTCTAATTGAAAGAATAGTTATAAATGATCTCGTTCATTTTTCAATAATATTGTAATTTTAGTTCTTTTAATTATATATTAAATTCAAATTCAGATCTAGACATTCATAAATCAATTAAAAACATAAAAAGAATATTTTAAAATATTAGTTTGTTGATAAAAAAAAAATCATAAAAAGTTAAATCAGCAGAAGATTATATTTTTATCTTATAAATATTTACTCGCATACTATAATATTTACTTGTATACTACATATAAATATTTTTAAATTTGCTTTGTAATAACGATTTTCTTTAATATTTATAAAATAATTGAATAATTTTGAAAGAAATTTTATATTATAAAAAAATATACATATATATATATATATACATATATCATTGTTAATATAATTATGATATTAGACGAAAAATTTATGTATAATTCTTATACAAAATTTGATTTAATCATAAAATTTTTGAGAAACATATTAAAATTTAATAATTTAACAATTCTTAACAATTTGTATAATTTTATTATAAAAAATATTTGAAATGACATTTAATCAATCATCAATAGTATCATCAATCATCAATATTATATTTTTATAATATAAATAAAATTTAAATTCTTTCCACTAGATGGCACAGTATACTCTTTGTATGAAATCTTTTAAAAATAGGATTACTAGGAGAAATCCCTTAACCAGGAATTTTTTTTCTCTTTCTTTACCTTCTTCATGATCCCACTATTGGCATCATTATGCTTTATCTTATATTATTATCAATTATGCTTATATCACTTACATTATGTAATTCTAAATAAGATTGTCAAATATCATCGAACCATAAGTCAGTCATGGTTAATCGACTTCCTTCTTTTTCACTATTTTCTTCTTAAATCACTCAAATCTCTTATCAAATCTTTCGATTTGATAACATTGTTTAAAAGATACAATCTTGTTTATCTTTTTTTAACGAAACATTATACATATAAATATTAGGCTTTACTCATAAGAACATTCTCCTAAGAGGAAAACAAATTTGATTGGTTATTTTTGGTAGATCAAATACAATCATAAAATTTAGCTGAAAGTATCATTTACTTACATAATATTGCATAAATAAAAAAAAATGAAATTTTTTTCTTTTATTCATATATTGTTTTAGTAGACTATTCAATATTATTATAGGTTATATTACATAGATGGAATATAACTGAATAAGCTTTTTGATTATCATTGATTACACAAAAATAAATAAAAACTGTTTGATTATATCATATATAAATTAATTTTTAATTTTTTCTTATTTAGCAAAAATTGATATATTACAATTATGGTGTTAGTGTTTGACGTCAGTCATTGCTCATCATCGTTGATAAAATAAAATTAATTATATTAATTCTCTGCAATAAAATTAATCTCACCATTAGCGTACATACGTTGAAATTAGTGGTAGCACAATTTTAATGTACACGTTTGAGTGACATGCATGACGTCAAAACACATCATTCCAACGGAAACCTGTTTGAACTGGAATCATACGATAGCATATCATAATTTTTCCAGAATATTATATATAAATATTTTTTAGTTCTCACATTCAAACTTAAAATATTTTATAATTATTTAAATTGAAAAATAAAATTTCATTTTTAATTTACGCAGAGAATATTAGTTAAAGGATCATTATCATATTAGTAAAGTTAAATTGATTTAAATTTTTCTGTTATACAATATTTATATTATATATTAAGTATTTAAGTATATTCAATTATTACGAAATCAATTTGTTGATATAGCAATTATAATTTTTTAAATATAAATATATATTGAGTTTTCTCTATTATAGAAATGGAAAATATCAAAGGAGGGGATTTGATGAATTTTTCTTGGTAGAAAGTATTTTGAGATTTTAGGAACTTGTTTAGACATGCGCAATACACATTCAAAAACAATCGGAGATCACCGCTTTTAATGTAGTAAATCTACTGATTCTTTTGAAGAAATAGAAAATCCTAGAGCATAAATTTAAAGTAATATATATTTGTCCTAATTGTCTACTTGTCTTAATTATCATTGATAACTAAAGTAAAAAATAAATATTCATTTATATTGAAAAAAAAAATGTTTTTTAATGTATTCCATATTACATTTAAAATATAATTAATTAATATTCCAAAGTACCAATTAAAAAAATAATAGGTAAAAACATGAGATTATTTAAAAAATCATATAGAATTCATATGGAATTTATATACAGATTTATATACAGATTTATATCAGGATTTAAAGAATTTAATAGTATAATTTTTATATATTTTTTTCGGTTAAAATTTGAATTTAATCGTTCTATAATCATCAATAATTATTAAAAATATTTAAGAACCGAATCGTACGATCCTTTTTTATAAAAAAGTTTTTATGATTTTTAATATTTTAATCACTCATATGCGCTGAACTTTTTCAGAAAAGAGCAAAAAGATGAATGAGAAACATGACTGAGTTATAATACATATATATATATACAACCATAGAAGAAAAATCAGACAAATATATCTTACTATATTTATATACATATTTATAACAGTTTCAAAATTATTAGATAATTCATAAAAAAAATAAATTTTCATACATATACAGTATCATATATATAATATAAAATCATAAAAATAAAAAAAAGGAATAACAGAAAAATACAATATGAAAATAATACAAAGAAAAAATAATAAAAAACGGGTAGTATGTTAGAGGGTTGGATATTACAACTGCGTAATCCGCATGCTCGTAGACTCGGAACATTTCAGATAGTAAAAACACAACAGTCGAACGAAGACCGCAGTACCGTGCAGTTCGGGTGCAGTGACTTGCACCGAATTTATGTGCACGAAGAATCTTCAATTTCTTCGTGCCTTTTGCATACCTATTCTTATTCCT